AAAGGTACAGAGATGGAAGATGTGTTAGGGGGAACCATAGATGGAGAGATACTGTGAGATATTGGAAAGGTAGGAAGGGACCAGGTAGTGAAGACCTTAAATGTCCAATGAAAGTAATAGGGAGCCACTAGATGATTTTCTTTGAATGGGGAGTTGGCATGATCAGACACATTGGTGGCTGAGGGGAGTAGGGATTATAGTGGGAAGGGGCTTGAGATAGTAGAAAAGTTAGGCCACTATTGCAACAGACCTGATGAGGTGATGAGGACCTCAACGGGCAGGTGGCTAGTAGAAGGGGTAAGACGCGTGAGAGATATTGATCGTGAAGACGGAAATAAGATTTGGCAAATCAGCAGATGTGTAGGCTGATAGTGAGGGATTGAGGACGGCACCAAAATTCTGAACCTTTAAGACTGGGGAATCTGGGAGAGTTTGAGATCTCTGAGATAGCTCACTCCAATGCCCAGTTGGCAGTTGGTGATCTGAAACGAAGTCAGGAGAGGCACTTGGGGATGGACATGCAGATCTGTGAGCTATCTGCACAGAGCTGACGACTGAACCTGTGGGGATTGATGAGATCGCCAAATAAAAGTATAGGAAGAAAAGAGGAGCGGTCCCAGGATAGGACCTTGGGATAGTTAGTGGGGATAAGTAAGGGGAGAGGACAGTCTCACTAGAGGATGTCTAGAAAGGGAGTTAACAGTGCCAAATGCTGCAGAGAGGTCAGGAAGGATGCGAACTGAGAAAAGGCCACTGAATTGGTGCTAGGCATCAAGAGGAGGCACCAAGAGTCCCCATTGCCCAGAGTCCTAATTTTATGGGTGTGGGCCTGAAGACATGGCCTAGGATAAAGAAAAGCCAGAGAAGGTAAAGTGGGGGAGAAACAAGCGAGTGTTTATGTGTGCCGTGGGGAGGGAGAGTGTGGAGGGATGGGGAAGAAAGGGGAAAGAGAAAGGATGGAGGAGAAAAGATTAAATGGAGATAAATATTATGGGGAGAGGGGTGGAAAAGGAGAAGAGATTCTCCTTCACATCTGGCCAAGACCCAGACATAGAGGGTGCTTCCTCCCAAGTTCCCTCATCCCCACGCTAGCATTTTGGACTTTCAGCCCCTACTGCCACCTGCTGCCATAGCAACCCCTTTATTCCCCCTCGCCACTGTTGCTCAGAGCACAAGCTTTTATTTTTAAAAGGTGCTCAGACTAAATTGTGAGGCCAAAAGGAACCCATGAAAATTTATTTAGGATTCTAGTTAAAATTACTCCACAATCAACCTCATTTGTTCTGTCATCTGAATGGCAGAACAAGGTCTGCCATACAATTAATTACAAAGAACATAGAACTAAAAAAAAAAAAAAATGAACTTCTTTCAGCCAGACAGCCAATTCTCCCTGAGAACACATAAAAACAAAGTGACATCTTTTGAATATTGATAGGACCTGTTAGCCTCCTAAAATAGGCATGATGGAGATTGAAGACTTCATTAGGTTTTAAAAGGAATTCTGAAAATCTCAAGTTGGTTATTTTGCACACAACACAAGACCTTTGGAATGCCATGGGAAAATAAGCTTTTATTTTGAAAATAAATAGGATCATAGGATCTCCAGCACTGGAAAGAACTTCAGAGGCTCTATATGTTCAACCTTATTTTGCAGATGAAGAAACAGGTTTAAGGAGGATGTGACTTGCTTAAGGTCACACAACTAGTTAGCATCACAAGTGGGATTTGAACCCAGGTCCTCTGACTCCAGCTAGAGTCGGTGCCCATGCAGTAGAAGGGAAAACAAAACAAGAAACCTTTGCGCATTTAAAATAGGATTCTGTAAAGTTCATCAGAATTTGAAAAGACTATGGAAAGGGATCCCCTTCAGCACTATGTTCCAGGGTTTAGGCCATTTAGTTGGAACTACCTACCATATGATCCTATCAAAGCCTTTTGTAAGAATTTTGGAATTTTTTTTTTCTACAGAAAAGCAAAGAAAGATGCCTTCTCAGGCATTTTACCTGAGCACCTAGAAACACCATCTTTGCAATTGTCCTGGTCTCAGTGGGGAAAAACCACACAGCAGAATGACTTCAAATATGTATCATTGCCATGAATTATACATCACAGTGTCACAAATGTTCCCTACACAGTCTCCCATTATTTGATGACTAACAAAAAGAAAAAAGAAAAAACCAGCATTGTTCATTAAAGGGCAGTCAGACAGAGCAAGTCTTTTAATTCACATTGCCAGAATTTGGGAGAAGTTAAGAGGCAAAAGAGGCAGAGGACCGTTGTCATGCCTTTGGTAGCTGCTCCTTAGGAATGACAGCATCAGGTGACAGGGGAAGTGGGAGAAAGTACCTAATTGTGAAAGCTAAGGGCATTGACTATAATCTTCTGAATTTTTAAAAATTTCAAATGCCCACCTCAAAAATAGAGTAAATGTTTGATGCTTCACTCACCCATCTTCCTTCCCTCTTTCCTTTCCCTTTCCTTTCCCCTCCTTCCTTCCTTCTTTCTCTCCTTCCTCTTTTCAGAAAAAAGAAGTCCTTGTCCAAAGATGTTCTGCATTTGGTAGGAGCTAATGCAAAGATACACAACTTTTCTTCTGGGAAGTCAAGGCACAAAGGTGAAAACTAGGACCATCCAGGCAAATCAAGGACATGTGGTCACTTTAGCTTTGAGCCAATCTCTTCCCTTCTGGCCTCCTCTCTTCTTTCCTTTCTTTTCCTTTCCTTCCCCTTGAGGACTTCACTCAAGGTATAGTAGCTCCTGCCATGGCGGGGGACAGGTTGGGAGAGAGGAGACCCAGAAAGCAGGGACCTTATCCTCCGTGGCTCAGTTAGCCCCTCTAACCTCAGAAACAATATGGCAGCTATGTCTTAGAGTGAAGGGTTAGAATTCACAGTGGCAATTCATAAGCAGTCACTATCCTGAGGAGGGCTGCAGAGAGAACCTTCATCTTCTGCCCCACTGGCCCTGGGCAGGTTTTACTTTTTACCTCTCAACTTATCAAGTTAAAACTTGTGGCAAGATCTTTTCAACTGAATGGTCATATCCCCCAAATGGTATACTAAGTAGAAAACGAAGGAGAATGAGGACTTATACATAGAAAGGCCCAGTATAGCTCTGTATGTGATTCCCTTAGCTGCCTTTAAGGCATAGATGAGAACAGGAAGGAATCTTCAAGGTATTCTAGCCCAACCTTGTAGATGAGCAGGACCAGAAAAGGGCATCCCCATGGGAAAGAGGGGAGAATGATTTTTAATTCTCATCCAGAGTTCTAGAAAGCAAGAGCGAGAAGCAAATAACTCAAAAGTTCATATGAGCTCCAAAAAGGTGGTGTTTTAAAGCTTGATGATGATAATAGCTATCATTTACATATTCAGGTTTACAAGGCACTTTACAAATGTTATCTCATTTTAACATGAAGATCAACCAGTTAGCCCAGTTTAAGAAACTGATTGGAAGGCACCTGGTTCCACAGGAAACCCTTATCACAACAGAAACAATGAAGTTCATTTTTCAAGTCTCTTGAAGGTCTTTTATTTTTTTTTAAGAAACAATGAAATGTCATTTTTAAAAAATTAAAAACTACAAAAAAGTGACCGTGTCCTTGAGTCCATGTTCACATTGTCCTGTGCCTGGTAACCAAGCCCAGCTTGAGCCTTCCTGGGATTCTTGTCACTTGCAATTGATACTTTGAAAGATAGTTGGATGGAATCTCCTGAGCTGAGCTGAGCTGAGCTGAGTTGAGCTGGCCCCAGCTTCTCTTCTGAAAGCTCTGGAACCATTTCTCTCTGCTCCCCTAGACAGCATATGGCAGTCACCATGCATGGGTCCAGGGCTCTCATCATGGAACCTTCAACCTCACAGAAATCCAGCTCTCGCCTCTCTGATGCCCCCATCCAGTCCCTCCCCCAGGAACAGTGGAATTGTTGTGCTCCCCCCATGCCCACCCCCAAACCTGCCATGAGGGCCAGGGATGGAGAAGATAAGGAACTTATTTCAGTCCCCATGGGGGACTGGTTTCCTAGAGTGAGGCCCTCCCCCGACCTGCAGGAGCTGCCTCCAGCTCAGTTCAGCCCAGCTTGATGGCCAGCTTGGAGCTGATCAAGGTGCCCTGTGCAGCAGTCCCTTCAGTCGGTCTCTCAGCAACCCCCTCCCCCAACCCCTACCCCAATGTTGGCCCCTCCCAGTAGATAGAAATTACTGCCTTGGGCTGCTGCTTGCTCATAGGGGCTGAGCCTCATGCCCAGACAGCTCAATCCATTGCTACCCCATCCATCATTCTAACCCTGGGTTCTGCAGAGGCCTATGTTCTAGGGGTCCGTGTGCCTCTGGCCAGCAGGTATTCTTCCTGACTTCTCCCCACTTCCCTTTCCCCAGGATCATCCATTCAAACGTGGGAGGGCAAGAGGAGTGGCTCCACCATTTCTGGGGATCAGGCTTACAGAAAATCCAGCAGTGACTGGCTGGATGGAGACGGAGGCCTCCCTCTTCCCTAAAACTTGATACAACTAGAGGGTGACAGTGGGTTTGTGGTAGAGAAGGAGAATAGGAAGGATCAGGGAAACTGGAGGGATAGAGGTCACTGAGAGCTGCCTGAGGAACCAGGAAGAAGGTGCCAAAGACACTGTAGACCAAAGAGGTGACAGTGGGTAAGCAGGGAAGCCAGGACTGTGACTAAGGGGAAAACAGGCACAAAGGATAGGCAAAGCCCCTGGCTCTGAGCAGCAATCTACCCCCACCCCCTTTCTTGCTTCCCTCAGGATGGAGCTGCAGATCCCTCAGGATGCCACACACCCCTGAGAAGGGGAGCCCCACGATGCTGTATCCAGCAAAATCAACAGCCGCCCTCAGCCCAGCTCTCCACTCTTCACTGTGCTTGCCCAGAGCCCATCCCAGGTCTCAGAGTCCCTGCTCAGCTCTCCCATTACACAGCTAGACAGGCTGGGCAGCCTCCCACTAACCATCCTTCCCTGGTCCTGCCCTGCCCCCCGCCCAGCCCCACCCCGACACGGCCCCCAAGCTCTAGTCCTGCTGCTCATTCATCTCCATGTCAGACACCAGTATATTCTTCTCGGCCACCTCCCCAGGGCCAGAGGAGCTGCGGCTATAGCGGGCACTCTCAAAGGCCCCTCGGTCAGGATTGCGCCGTCGCTTGTACAAGAGTGCAGCCACAGCCAAGAGGACCAGGAGCGCCAAGGCTGCCAGCACCACCACCACCAAGGCTGTTGTGTTCTCCTGGAGTGCTGCCCAGAGAGGGGATAAGAAGCCACTCAACCCTTGGGCCTCAGACCTCCCACCCACCCCCCTTCCTCCTCCCTTCCTCAGAAACCTTAGAGCCCCTTCAGCCAGTGCTGTGCTGCGGGCTACTCAGTTCTTTCCTAGTGTCATCTTCCCATGCCCCCATGGCTGGCAGAGTTTTTGCTCTCCTGGGTCAGGAGAAGAAGCCTTACAGTCTATATTCTGCTCACCTGAGGAGGAGAAACTGCCCTCTTTAACTAAAAAGGTGGAAAAAAAGAAAGACACAGCAAATCAATCAACAAATACTTAGCCTCTGGCCACCTAATACGAGACCTGCCTGTACTGGGCATTATGGAGATCATAAAAAAATGAGATGCAGTTTTTTATATCAAGGGGCTTCCAGCCTAGTGGAAGGGACAGGGCATGAACATACCCTTACTGATAACAAGGTGGTATCACACAAATGTCAAACATGGAGACTCTTTTTAGGCTGTGGTTAGACTAGATTGCCAATGACTTCTCTTGATGAAATTCTATCTTTTTAAGTAGCAGGGACAGTAAAGGCTGCTGGACTTGAGAAGAGAGATGGGCATTAGGGCAGAGGAAGAACCATAATTTGGGAAGGTCATGTCAACAGCTCCCAGCAGCCATAGCTGTCTCCACTTTCTCCCTGGGGTCTCGAGCCTTAGTGCCCATCTGCAGATTGGGGAGCATTTATATACATACACACACACACACACACACACACACACACCCCTACACTTCCAGTGACCGCACTGTGTATAGGGGAGGTGTCTCTGTTCAGAGTGGGGAGAGAAAGGAGATCACTCACCCTGGGGGAGCTTGCAAACAACACCCATGGTGATGTTGGTACACCCTCCAGGACGCCAGAGGCCACTGCTGCTCTGAATCCAGTAGCAGCTGTTGTGACTGAGCATACTGGGTCCCAAGCCTGGGGGACCCCAGTTTGAGTAGTTGACTGCTGTGTTGTCATGCCAGACCAAAGTGCCCCCTAGGGAGAAAGACCAAATGAAAACATTAGGAAGTTAGAAATGAGGAGGGGAGGAGAAGAGACTGAGATCCGAGCTGTGGGTTAGGGAACTTAGTTATAACTATAATATAACATAAGAACACTAAGATATAATACATTATATGTGATATGATATATATCCTATCCTATTTTATTATACCATAATAATATAATAAGATACAGTAAAAATAGAATGGGAAGGAATTGGGATTTGGCCCTTGGACCATTCATATGCCCTTATAGCACCCCAGCCTTGGCCTGATGACTCCTGAACTAGATATCCCAAAACATGATCACAAGAACAGCCCAGGAACTATCTTAGAAAAATTCCCCTTAGTGCCATCTCCCTTGCTGCCTGAACTCAGCTTTTGTGGAGCTGAAAGAGATCCATAGTCTCCTGGTTTTTTCCCTTCATGACAAAGGCATTATACTCGTCTTCATCCTCTGCCCCCAACACTCACCTTTGGGGTTAAAGTTCATGCCTAGCCAGGCTCCTCCACTTTGTCCTTCTGTGCTTTGCATGTGTTCCCAGACAAAAACATTCTCCATCTCATCCATGATAGACAGGATGGCACCACCCGCTGGGAAGGGACATGAAGGCAAACTTCTAGTGCCCACCATGGGATTACTGTATTCCCAACCCCAACCCTAAAGCCCCATGCTCAGGTGAATACTGGCTCAAGAAGTATAATAGATCAAGGTCATTTTGACTAATTTGGCTAAGAATTACCAATGATGGACAAAAGATTCCTAGTGACTGTTTGAAGGTTTAGGGCTAAGAAAGGAGGAGGAAAAGGAGGAAGAGGAAGAGGAGGCAGGCTGTGTGGTGTGCGGGTGGGGGTATGGTATAGCACTGGACTGAGAGACAGAAGACATGGGTTCTAATCAGAATCACAATATATTAAAGAAGTAGAAGAGCTCTTAGAGACCAGCTAGTCCCAGGATTCTTAACCATTTTTTAAATGTCATTGACTCCTTATGTGGGCAGTCTGGTGAAACCTAGGACTGCTCCTCAGAAAAATGTTTTTAAATGGCTAGGTTGCAATTAGTGCAAATAATCCTGTGAAGTGGTTGCATGTATTTGAATTCACATTTTCAAAGTTATAATTTCATAAAATATGGTGATTGGTTCCAGCCCCATGGAAACATGCAGTTCTAATTCCCCTGGATTCATTATTTGCCCTAATAGGGGCCTGGCTGTGCATAAAATAAAATACATCGAATTACAAATGAAACCAATTATATTGAAATAGTTATCAAAATGTCAAATAAATTCATTGATTCCAGGTTAAGAACCATTCATCTAGTGCAATTTCTCAGTTGGATTAGCCAACTGGAGCCCAGAGAGAGATAGCTATATAAGGTCACATAGGAAGTAAGCAGAGGAGCCGAGATTTGATCTCTATTCCTCGGACTCCGAGTGAAGCTCCCCATCTCTTCTACCCCAGAGTCTCCCTGCTTTTCTACTGATCCACTGTCTGGTTTGCTTCGCCTTCCTCACAGGTGTGTGATGGGAAATAAATTAGACGGTTGACATTAAGACTAAAGAGCCTGAGTGGACCACGATCCAATCAATATAAGCTAATGATTTGATGTGGCTACTAAAAAAGTGAGTATAATTGTAGGCTGCATTATTAATAAATGTAGTACCCAGAAGTACCCCTCAGACCACATCTGGAATAGTGGATTGAGTCCTGGATTCTGTATCTGACATGCTACGGTATCCAGAAGATGGTGTGGAATCTTGATCGTACAAGAAATAGCCGAGGGAAGCTGGAGTTATTTATTTATCTTGAAAAAGAGGAGATTTGGGGAGGGGACATGAAAGCTGTCTTCAGTTAGATCCGTTCACAATGAAACAGACACATCCTTATGAGGTGGGTGAGTTCACCATCATTGGAAGTCTTCCGACGGAGGCTGGACGATGGTGGAGGGGATTCTTAGATGGAGCGAGGTTGCTTTGGAAAATGGCTTTGAGTTTCCATAGGCACTCCTACCCATGGGTGCATAGGGAGGTGGAGCCGACTCACCTTTCTGACAGCGCTGCAGCGCCTCCTTGTGGCCCAGCATCAGCTCCATGTGGAAAGAATAGCAGTGTTCCCGAAAGGGGATCCATGCTGAGTCAGCCAGGGCATGGGGACAGTGGCTCACCTTCCTAGGGAGTTGGAATTCTGCCCGTGGGGACACCGATGGGGGTTAGGAGAAAGACAGCAAAGAGGATTTGAGTTTCAAGATGTCTGTGGGTGACAGGGATACCCTATTTCCCAGGGAATACCCCGCCGAGGGATATGCCTGTTTTTCTCCTCTGCCTTCCCCACCTCCCCCCGCCGGCCTCTCCCCTCCTTTGCTCCATCCTAACACAGACCTCGCCTGACCCCACACACAGCCCCCTGAAGTTTGGTGTCACAGCTGGCCGTTCGCCAGGTCCCATCCACATCCAAGTAGCCGCAGCCCCCGGGCAGCTGGGGCTCTCTGTCCTTCCAGTTTGCATAGCTGAGCTCATCTAACACCCATGAGTAACGTCGGGAGCCCTAAATGAGGTGACAGAGAGAGAGAGAGAGAGAGAGAGAGAGAGAGGAGAATATAGAGAGATGACAAAGAAACAAGGGAAGGGGATGGTGAACTAGGTCATAGATCGGGGATTACTGGGAAGTCATGACTTAAACACTGAGAGCGTCAGCTGTCCAATTCAGGGGTCCCCTTCAGGGTGGGGGACATAGGAAGCCCCCACCTCCTCATCTGACAGCCCAATCCAGAGTGGGGTGTGCAGGCTACGGGTAGCCTGGGTCAAGAAGGCCTGGGTGTAAGGGTTGTCCACTTCAGCCAGGCTGGTGTTTAGGCTCTCACAGAGCAGGAGGGCATCGTGCCAGCGAAGAGGCTTCTGCAGCAGCCGGAAGATGCTGTTGTGGTAGGAGAGCTCGGTGCCCGGAGCAGGGGGTAGGGCATCTGGAGAGGGGTTCAGTGCAGTATCTGCAAGAGGAGGGAAGCTGCGTACAGTCTTTGCTAGGTGAGCCTGGGCCCATTCTGGCCTGGGGTACAGCCCTATCCCTAGCTAGAAGGCCCTCCACCAAGGATAACAGAAGGGTCCCCTGTGGGAAAGGCCTGACTAAAGGGTTTTCCTCCCTCTATGCTTTTGTCCACATCAGAGGTGTCAAACACAGCCCACCATATGTGGCACACAACACTCCCGAGTGCTGTCCAAATCAGATTAAAATGTAATTGGGAAATAGGTAATAAAAATAAATTAAAATACAACAAAACATGTGGCTTTCCACTGCAAGGATCCTTAGATATGATTTAGTGGTCCCATTTCTTTTTGAGTTTGACACCGATGGTCCACACCCTTCCTGCTCCTAGAATACTCTCTCTTCTTCTCTCCCCCTCTTTAAATCCTCTCTGTTCTTTGAGACTCAATTGAATTCAGTAAACATTCATTAAGTGATTATGCAAGGCACAATGCTAGGATGTGAGGATGTGAAGTTGAAAAATAAGATAGACCCTGCCCTCAAGGGGTTGAAGGGAGGAGTGTAGTTTATTGTGTCTGAAGGGAAGTAACATGAAGAAATATGAAGCTAGAAAGGTGATCCAGGGCCAGATCATTGAGGACCTTAAGTTCCAGGTTCTGGAGTTTGTATTTAATCATATATGCAAGACAGAGCCACTGTCTTTTTTCAGTGAAGGAATGTCACTAGACCCTTGCGTTAGCCTAAACTCTACCTCCTCCATGAAGACATTCATCTTCATTCATTCATTCATTCATTCATTCATTCATTCCAAAAACATTTATCAGGCATCCATTGTGCAGAGTACTGTGTTAGACACTGGAAAATGTATAAAAGTAAACTATATGCTAAGGTCCTGCCCTCATACAATTTAGAGTCTACGAGAAACCTTTCCTGACCAGAAAACAATCTCTCCATCCTCCTAAGCTCCAGTGGGCATCTGTCTCAATTATTTGGTGTTGACCATCTACTACTTTCTTAAATGAGCAATGAAAAGAAACAGAAGAGAACAATAGAATGGGAAAGACATATCAAGGGAATGTTTCATGCAAAAATGGGCATGATAAAAGACAAAAATGCAGTAACAATAGAAGTAGAAGACAGTAAGAAGAGGTGGCAAGAATATACAAAAGAACTATACAGGAGATCTTAACATCACTCAGTGATGTGGTTACCTCCCTAGAGCCGTGCGTCCTGGAAATGAAGTCAAGCCAGCCTTAGGAAACATTGCTAACAATAAGGCTGGTGGAGGTGATGATAGAATTCCAGCCGAGTTATTTAAAATCCTAAAAGATGATGCTGTTAAAGTGCTGCACTCAATATGCCAGCAAATTTGGAGAACTCAACAATGGCCACTGGATTGGAAAAAATCAGTTTACATCCCAATTCTAAAGAAGAGCAATGCCTAAGAATGTCCAAATTACCAAACAATTGCACTCATTTCACATGCCAACAAGGTTATGCTTAAGATTTTGCAAGCTAGGCTTTAGCAATATGTGACCCAAGAATTACCAGAAGTGCAGGCTGGTTTTTGAAAAGGCAGAGGAACTAGAGACCAAATTGCCAAAATTCACTGGATTATGGAGAAAGCTAATGAGTTCCTGAAAAACTTCTACTTCTGCTTCTATTAAAGCCTTTGTGTGGATCTCAACAAATTGTGACAAGTCTTCAAAGAGATGGGAGTACCAGATCATCTTACTTGTATCCTGAGAACTTGCATGTGGGTCAAGAAGCAATAGTTAGAACTAACCATAAAACAACTGATTGGTTCAAGATTGGGAAAGGCGTACAACAAGATTGTATATTGTCACTTTATTTATTTAACTTATGCGCAGAATATATCATGAAAATGCCAGGCTGGATGAATCAAAAGCCAGAATTAAGGTTGCCAGGAGAAATATCAACAATCTCAAATATGCACAATACCCACTCTGATGGCAGAAAGAGAAGAATTAAGAAGCCTCTGGGAGAATGTAAAAGCTGGCTTATAGGTTAACATTTAAAACAACTAAGATCATGGCATCTGGTCCCATTACTTCCTATAACAAGAGCAAGAAGAAATGAAAGCAGCATCATATTTTATATTCTTGGGCTCAAAGATCACTGTAGATCTTTGAGGGGACTGCAGCCATGAAATGAAAAGACACACTTGCTCCTTGGAAGGAAAGCTATGGCAAATCTAGTCAGCATACTAAAAAGCCAAGACATCACCTTGCCGACAAAGGTTCGTATAGTCAAAGCTATGGTTTTTCCACTAACAATGTATAGCTGTGGAAGTTGGACTACAAGGAAAGCTGAGTGCTGTAGTCTATGCTTTGGAGTTGTGATGCTAGAAAAGACTTTTGAGAGTTCCTTGGACAGCAAAGAGATCAAATCAATTAATACTTAAAGAAATAAGTTCTTACTATTCATTGGAAAGACAAATACTGAAACTCAAATACTTTGGCCACATAATGAGAGGACAGTACTTGTTGGAAAAGACCCTAATGTACGGAAAAATTGAGGGCAAAAGGAAAAGAAGATAGTAGAGGATGAGATGGATAGAGCGTATCATAGAAACAAGAAACATGAGCTTGGACTGACTTTAGGAGACACTGGAGGGCAGAAGGGCCTGGTGCTATGGTCCATGGGGTTATGAAGAGTCAGACTTGACTAAACAACTGAAAAATAATTTATTACTTCATATCAGTTAGCTTTCCAGGTGTGTGTGTGTGTGTGTGTGTGTGTGTGTGTGTGTGTGTGTGTGTG